AAAGCCGAACCCACAGTCAGGTTAAAAGTATCAGCGGGGATGAAAGCCTTGACCTCATTCTTGCAATTAATCAGTGTATTTATCTTTTTTATGATCGGCTCTGCAGGGCTGATGGCGCCTTTTGTAATCCGCCATTTCGGCTCCTCCACCAGGGTATATGACCTGCTGGTTTATGGTGTTAATGGTTTTTCCGCTTTATTCTTCTCCATCATCATCCTTTCCATCGTTGCAAAATGGGTACTGATCGGTAAATTCAAAGCCGGGAGATATCCACTTTGGGGCTGGTATTACCTGCGTTTCTGGATCGTAAAGAAACTGATTGACCTGAGCCCAATTGGTATTTTAAGTGGAACGCCATTTCTGAAATGGTATTTCGGCCTGATGGGCGCTAAAATAGGAAAACGTGTATTCCTTGGTTCAGACAGAATCAGGGTATTTGACTTATTGACTATCGGTGATGGCTCCAGCATTTCTAAAGAATCACATTTATTAGGTTATAAAATTGAAGATGGTGCCCTGGTTATAGGCAGTATAACCATTGGTGAAAACTGTTTTGTGGGTACACGTTCCGTGATTTCACCTGGTGCAGTGATGGAAGACGGTTCTGGAATAGGAGAGCTGTCACAGCTTCAGCCAAACACTACAATTCCTGCCGGAGCTTACTGGAAAGGAACACCAGCGGTACCTATCGGGCCAAACAAAGCAGCGCCGGCCATCAAATTCACCGGACAGAATAAACCGATGAATTTTGCCTTATATGTGGCTGTGCTGGCTTTAACATTAGGTTTTGTCTTTGTCTTTCCTTTCGGCTTAAGTATTCCTTTTATCGTCATTTATTACGAAGTGATCTTGTCTTTTGGATTAGGCTGGGCAATGATCCTGTCCATCCCGATTTCGGCTATGTATATTATCATTTACTGTGCTTCGGTAGCGCTGTTCAAATGGCTGATCATTGGTAAACTCAAGGAAGAAGCTTTTAGCATGTACAGCTTTAAGTATATCCGGAAATGGGCAGTAGATTCCCTGATGAACATGAGTTTAACCTACTTCAGATCTGTTTATGCCACCATATACTTGTCTTCCTGGTTAAGGCTGATGGGCACCCGTATCGGTAAAGCCACAGAAATATCAACCGTAAATCAAATCACAACTGACCTGGTGAAAATAGGTGCAGGAAGCTTCCTGGCCGACTCTGTGAGTTTAGGCTCTCCAGAAGTACACCAGGGCACGATGTACCTGCGTCAGATTACCATCGGGAACAAAACATTTATTGGAAACAGTGCGGTGATTTCGGCAGGGGATACCATTGGCAGCAATTGTCTGATTGGTGTATTGTCTACCCCGCCATCAAATATTGAACGAAAATATGTCAATGACTCTTCATGGCTTGGTGCGCCACCTATGTATTTGCCTAAAAGGCAGGAGAGTGTGAAATTTGCGGATGACCTGACCTTCAGGCCAACTAATAAATTATACTTTCAGCGTGGAGTTATTGAACTTTTCAAGATTACACTGCCTTATGCCATTACCTCGGTGATCCTGTTGTTATTCTATCATTTAATTGATAACTATTATGATCATTCCAGCAGACATATCATTTATACATTGAGTCTGGCCCCATTTTTATTGCTGGCGCTGATTGGCATTTCCGCTTTAATCACTGTTTTGTTTAAAAAGGTGCTGATCGGAACTTATAAGCCTTCCAATCAACCCTTATGGAGTATGTTTGTGTGGAAAAATGAACTTGTTAACTCCTTGTGTGAGAATATGGTTTATCCTTTATTAGTGAATACATTACTGGGAACACCATTTGCACCCATATTTTTCAGGATGATGGGTTGTGATATTGGAAAAGACGTTTATATGGATACCAGTGAGATTACAGAGTTTGATCTGGTGCATATAGGAGACCATGTAGCCATTAACCACATGTGTACGCTGCAAACTCACCTATTTGAAGATCGTGTCATGAAAATGGCGCATTTGCACATTGGTGATAACTGTAATATAGGGGCAATGAGTGTGGTACTTTATGATTCTACGATCGAAGAAGGTGCTACGCTGCAAGCTCTATCTTTAGTGATGAAGGGCGAAACGATCCCAAAACAAACCCAATGGGCCGGTTCGCCAGCTAAATTTGTAAAGTAATTTAAAGGATAGAAGAATAACAAGGTGAAATAAAACTGATTATATTGGGTTAGTTGTTGTAACTCTGGTCTTATCTACTAAATTTGTAGACTTTAACCAAGACGCGATGATTACAAACCTAAAACACAGTATTACCTTAATTTTTCTATTCTTTATTACCAACCTGGCCACAGCCCAAAATAAGATCCTTGTTTTTCAATCAGACTTCGGCTTAAAAGACGGTGCAGTATCTGCCATGAAAGGGGTGGCCGTTGGTGTTTCACCAGACCTTAAAATATTCGACCTGACCCATGAAATCCCTGCCTATAATATCTGGGAAGCTGCTTATCGTTTAGTGCAGACCGTACCTTATTATCCAGCCGGAACCGTATTTGTTTCTGTAGTAGATCCTGGTGTAGGAACTGCCCGTAAGTCGGTGGTGCTTAAAACCAAGACAGGACAGTTTATTGTGACACCAGACAATGGGACACTGACCTTAGTTGCACAATCACTGGGTATTGAAGAAGTCCGTGAAATCAATGAAGTCAAAAACAGGCGTAAAGATTCCGGAAAATCCTATACCTTCCACGGCCGTGACGTTTACGCTTTTACCGGCGCAAGATTAGCTTCCGGCGCAATTACCTATGATCAGGTTGGAAATGAACTTCCAAAACAAGTTGTAGAAATTCCTTATCAGAAAGCGACCCTGGAAAACGGAAAACTTAAAGGAAGCATTTCCATCCTTGATGTACAATATGGTAATATCTGGACAGACATTACTGCAGACCTGGTTAAGCAACTTAATCCGCAATACGGAGACCTGCTTCACTTACAGATCTTTCATAAAGGAAAGAAAGTTTATGAGGGTGATGCGCCTTATAGTCAGACTTTTGGTGCTGTTGCCGAAGGTAAGCCTTTAGGTTACCTGAATAGCCTGCTACAATTATCCTTCGCTTTAAACCAAGCTAACTTTGCCGCAGTACATCACATCGCCAGTGGCAATGAGTGGAGCGTTGAAGTGACTTTAAAGAAGGGTAAATAGGATGAGGGGATTAATTTACGCTTTCCTTTTTTACTGATTTCAAGTGCTGCCTTCTCGCAATCCAGGACGATAACCGGCCGGATCACAGATCAGCACAATAACCCGTTGCCTGGTGCAACAGTTGTTATATCGCCCGATGGTAAACAAACCAGCAGCGATCAGACAGGCGCATTTAAAATAACTACGACTGCCCAGGCACAACTCATCGGGGTCAACTTTGTAGGCTATAAACTTTTTAAACAAAAGCTGACCGCTGCAAATCACTATGCCATTAGCCTGCAAGCGGACGAAGCTATGCTGGATGAAGTTGTTTTAGTGGGTACACGCAGCACAGGCAGAACAAGATTGAATACCGCAGTTCCTGTAGATGTATTCAATATCCCAAAATTACAAATGATGGCCCCGCAGAATGATTTAAATCAGCTGTTACAATATGCCTCA